TTTGAATGACAAGGCGGGTCAGTGAGGCAGGTCAGATTCTGATCTGCTGGGCAGCCAACCAATGAAACAGACGCTCCTGCATAGTTGAAACTGGAGGGCAAAGATACCATTGACGGCTTCCTAGAGCGGACGGGAAGTACCCACTAAAAAGAGAACCTGCCACTTTGGTCCAGAATTCTGTTTCCACAAGCCAGCAACGTGTTCTCAGTTGGAAAACTGTCATTTCGCCCCAGGACATCCTGAATAATTTTTTCTATTCTTTCATTTTTCCCTCCCCATTCCTTCATTGTATATGAAATGACTGGGACGTGTGCACAAGTCTCTTGCTTTTTTTTTTTTTTTAGCCAAATGGCCAATGATATATTTTCATCAACATCAAATGGAGGTGAACTCAGGAAAAATACTGTTTCTGTGAAAATACCTCCTTTCTCTGTTAGGAGCAGGCTCATTTAACGCCCATCATCTTATTCCAAAAAGTTATTAGCTCTTGCTGTTTAACAAAAAACAGGAACAACAAAATAAATCCTTCATATCTTGTTTGGAGAATTTCAATGTTTTTCATTTGTCATTATGAAATCAAGGGCAATTTTGTAACTTTTTTTTTTTAGTATGTAGCTGTTACATGTATGGTAATATGTCTTTAAGTAGTGATACGTTACTCTTAAGGAAAGGTAGTTTTCTCTTTGAGTCAAGCACATTGTTTAAATAAATTTCTTATTTAAAAAAATTTTTAAACTAAAGCCAAAATATAAGACATTCCCAGATAAATACAAACAGAGATTGTTGCTAGCCAAACTATTTTACAGAACGAAGTCCTTCAGATTGAAAAGGAAGGACCCCCAAATGGTAGGTTTAGGTCGCAGGAAGGAAGAATATGGGAAATGGTAAACTTGTGGGTAAATGCAAAACACTGATCTATATCTTTCCCTCCCTTAATGTCTTTTAAAAATGAAATTGTTTAAACAATTATTATAAGGCTGTAGTGTTGGGTTTTTAACATATGTAGATGTAATAGATTTGACAAAAATAGAATAAAGAAGGGGAGGAAATAGAGCTATGTGGCTGTATTTTATTGGATTTAAGTCAATATTAACCTGAAATAGTCTCTCATAAGTTAAAGATGCATATTATAGTCCCTACAGCAATCACTAAGAAACGAGTTTAAAAACATAGAAACAGTGGAATTAATGTAATACAAATATTTTTAACACAAGATAAGGCAATAAAGAAGGAACAGAGTTTCTTTGTGTTTACGGGACAGCTCTGTATCTTGATTATGGTGGTGGTCGCATGGTGGTCATACTTGTGATAAAATTGCATAGAACTATACACAACACACACACACACTTGAGTGCACGTAAAAACTGGTGAAATCTGAGTAAGGTCTGTAGGTGAGTTCACGGTATTGTGCCAATGTCAGTTTCCTTATTTTCATATTGTACTACTGTATAGCATGATTATTTGACTATATACATTGTAAAAACTCATTGAGCTCTACATTTATTCTTTTTTTAAATAAATTTATTTATTTTGTTTATTTATTATTTTTGGCTGCGTTGGGTCTTCGTTGCTGCACACGGGCTTTCTCTAGTTGTGGCGAGCGGGGTCTACTCTTCGTTGCGGTGCACGGGCTTCTCAATGCGGTGGCTTCTCTTGTTGCGGAGCACGGGCTGTAGGCATACGGGCTTCAGTAGTTGTGGCATGTGGGCTCAGTAGTTGTGGCTCGCGGGCTCTAGAGCGCAGGCTCAGTAGTTGTGGCGCATGGGCTTAGTTGCTCTGCAGCATGTGGGATCTTCCCGGACCAGGGCTCTAACCCGTGTTCCCTGCATTGGCGGCCAGATTCTTAACCACTGCGCCACCAGGGAAGCCCAGCTCTACATTTAAATTGGTGATTTTCATTGTATGTAAATTATACCTCAGAAAGCTAATTTTAAAATATAAAACAATTTTTAAAATAAACAAAATAAAATATAAAACAATAAATACTACAGTCATCTAAAGAGGAAGCAAGGGAGGGAAGGAGGGAGGAAGGAAACCATAACTTGGAGGTGACAGATACTGTGCAAGATGAAGAAAACTCACTCACACAGACACACACACACACACCACCACCACCACCACCACCAATAACAACACTATTGTTTACATCCTCAGAGAGGTAAGAAGATACTGGTACAAATAGGGTACAAAGAAAGGGAACTCATAAATTAACACTGGGACAGCAGATTTGAAAAAACACAAGGATTGAAAGTTCAAGGTGAGAAATCTCCCAGAAAGTAGTACAAAAAGAGAAAGAAATGAAAAATAAGAGAAAAGATAAAATCAGAGGACCATCCGGGAGATGCAACCTCTGAATGATGGACGTTCCAGACAGGGAAACAGAGAAAACGGAGGGGGAGAGAATCAACAAAATACTTTAGGAGAATTTCCCAGTCCTGAAAGGCACATCGACAAGTAGACAAGAAGTATGCGCATACTATAAATACAGTATGTCAAATATGTACAAATATATATATATATAGAGAGAGAGAGAGAATCGTGTAAAACATACTCATGTGGACAGAGACCAAAGGAAATACACCTAGGAAAAAAGTTATTTTGTTACAATGATGATGAGGGTTTCAAATTTTATTTTAAATTATGCTTATTTGTATAAATTAAGATTAAACACCTTTGCTTGCCCCCACCCCCAAGTACCTGCACAACAAAGTCCAAACTCGCCTAATAAAAATTCTGTAATGGCTCCCCGTTACCTTAAGGCCTTACAAGATTCTCAACAGGAAATTTTGAAGTTTGTTCTGCCTGCCCGTTCCCATCTCCTGCCACTTCCCTCCACCTGCCTGCACTCCAGCGGTATCAGAACATCCAGGAGGAGAGGCATCTTGAGGAACCCCAGCATCTGGCAGGAGCTCCTCCTCCTCCCCGGGTCTCCATGGTAACACTTACCACTTGGTTGTAGCTGAGTTATCCCTTGCCTTGGAAGCCTGTTCTCAGGGAGGAGAAACTGTCTCCCTGGGGCCTGCCACACTGTAGGCACCGTAAACAATTGTTCAGTGTTTGGGGAGGCGGGGTAGGGCAGGCATTGTAATGCCACCCCTTTCACGTGGCCTTTCTGATTCCCACACCGCCACAACACCACCATTCCAGGAGAAATCAGACTTTCCCTCTGTGTTGCCGTAGCACTTTATGTGACCTTGGGTGACTTATTCTCTCTATAACTCAGTTTCCTCACCTGTAAAATGGGGCAAGAATGGTACCCATCTTACGACATTACTGTGAGGATTAAATCGGGTTATGTTTACAGCACCCCATGCCAACCTCATGGTAAATGCCCAGGAAAAGGAAGCCATTGTGATGATTACTTTGACATCTTAATATGACATTTGTCTGTTTCCTATGGCAACATGTACAGATCTCACCTCTGCTATGTGATTGTAAACTGCCCGTGGGCGGGGAACCTATCTTGTTGATCTTTGTCTATTGCACAGCACATGGCATGCTGTCTGACTGCAGCAGACATCCAGAAAATCGTCCTTGGATTCGCACAGACAAACATACACGGAGCCTTACACATGCGCAGATGTGTGCACACACTTAGGGACACACATGTGCCAATACATTTTTCTGTGCTCATCTTGGCTGACCGTCGGGTCTGTAGCATTCAACTGCGCTGACCACCTCCTCCTTCTGGAAGTACAGCATTCTCCACCCCTGGCTCCTGGGACCTACTCTTGCTTGGATTTCAATCTACCTCTCTGGAAGTACCTCTCAGCCTCCTTCGCGCCCCAGCTCCTCCCCAACTTGCCCTTAAATGTCTTTGTTCCACATAGCGCCATCTCGGCCCTGCCCTTCTCACTTTGGACACTGTTGGGTGACTTCATCAGAACCAAAGATACATTTGCAAAAGTCTAGAAAAGTCATAAGCTGGGTTAGCAGCAGCCGAGCTCTCTGTCCTGACCTCCAGACCTGCAAAACCTGAAGGACTTCCTACCCTCCTTCCGGCACCTCCCTCCACAGGGACAGTCACAAGACCCACGGCTTCTTTCACCTGTAGAAGCTGCTCACATGTGAGGCTCCCATCCTCCACCCTCCTCTCTGCCCCTAGTGGCGCTGTGTCAGCTCAGACCCCTCCACTTTTCACCTGGACCCATGGTCAGGCCCCCCGTCTATTCTCTTGGCCGCTGCCGGAGTGAGCTCTCACCGGTTCTGTTTCCTCGCAAAGTCCCATCACTGTGGATAAAGCGATGCATACATGGGTAGCTGTGTGACGAATCAACTACGGCAAGATGTTAACTGTAGAATCTAAGGGGTAGGTACAGGAGTGTGTGTTCCAATCCTCTCAACTCCTTTGTGCTTCAAAATTTTCAGAAGATGTTGGGGGAAATACCCTTCAATGGTTTCTTTTGGCTTTTGGGATTAAACTCAGACCCCTTCGCGTAGAACATAAGGCCCTCTGTGATCTGGCCGTTGCCTCACCCTCTGTAACCTCGTCTGCTACCACTCACATATCCCTTTCCCACAAGCCATCCTGAATTACTTGGATGCCCCAGCAGAGTCGTGGTATTTCATTCCTCTGAGCCCTTGGACTTGCTGTTCCCGATTCCTAGAATGCCTTTCCCTGCGTTCTTCTCGGGTGATCCCTAACCCCCATGCACTCTTCTGACTCATCTCAAGTGACACCTCCTCCAGGAAGCCTTTGCTGACTCCTCAGTTCGAGGCCCCTTATCTGGTTCCCACAGCCCCTCCCGTATCTCAGCAGAGATTTATAGTACGAAGGGCCTCACCTAAGACTGGGTTGGCAGATATGCAGCAGCAATGGAACCCTGGCCTGAGGATGGGGCTCTAGTTACCCTACGCCTCCGAATCACCTATGATCTCTCATTTCTTCCCTCAGAGGACGCATCCTCAGGCATCTGCCCTGCCTTTGCGCCAAACACACGTAGCAGGCTGGGCGAATCCTCAGCCTCAAATTGACAAGCCAACCTCGGCAACTCCAGCCGCCAAAGCTGTCCTGGCCCCGGAGCCCTGGAGCCTGCTGGCGGGGGCTGTGCCCTGCTGGCGGTGGAGGCCCCCCGAGGAAGAGCTCCAGGCAGGGTAGGGAGGAAGGCGGGGCCTGCGGCTGTACAAGTCGGTGTCCCGGGCCTGGGACGGAAGTTGCAGAAGTACAATTAGTTTCAGTTTTGTTTCTCTTTCAGGAGCCCAGCAACAGCAGCGCCAGGGCCTCGGGGGCCCCCAGTCCGGGTCCTGGAGCCCCGGCTAGGTAAGGAGAGGGGCTTGGAGGGCGATTGAAGGGACAGCTGAACTGGAGGGGGTGGGGGAAGGGGGAGAGCGGGAGGAAGGGGAAGGGAGTGGGGAGAGGGGCCCAGAAGGCGGGAGGAGAGGGGAGGAGAGGGGAGGCTTCCCCCGCGGGGCCAGAGATCCGAGACTTCCTGGGGAAGACCCCCTCCCACTCTCTGAGCTCTCCAACCAGCCCCTGCTTTCTGGAAGTTTGGGGGAAATTCCCCAAGTTTCTTTATCAAGTATTTCACAGCCACTGTGCAGGGAGCTGGGGGCATTCACAACTGATCCTCATGTGACTCATACCCTCCAGAGGCTTCTAGGAAAGCAGGAGGCCTCTTGCAGCAGGAAAGGCTGAAAGAAAAGGGCTGGAGGAGATGGGGCAAAGGCTACGCGGTGACCCTGAATTTGAGGAACTGGAAGGAAAGAGCGAGGCGGCCCCTTCCTCTCAGGCATCCTTCTGCCTGTTCATTTCAGGATAGTCGAGGCAGGAAGAGGGGCCCTCACAACCCGTGATGCCGCTGCCAGGGCCTAGGAGGCAGGTGTACGGGGCTGTGGGAATTGGGGTCCCTCATACTCCCCCACCCTCCGGGAGTCAAGGCACGTCTGCCCACCCAGACCCTCGGCTGGTCCTCTGTGCCCTCCCCTCACCTGGCATCCCACCCCCAGCAGGACCCCCAGGATCTATTCACACCAGACTCGCATCCCGTGTGCCACAAGGTCTGTCAGTGGGGGGCACCGATCATTACGCCAGCAGGTCTCTAAGGCTGTGCTTCTTGGTGTTGTCATATCTCGCAGGGCCTGACATGCAAAAGCGGCCTTTACTTTTTCATATTTGCTGAACGTCTGCAGGGAGGAGGGAGGCGGCTCTTTATCTCAAGAGACCAGAAGAAAATTCCTGGCCATTCAGGTGAGACCCCAGACCTGGTGGGGCTTGAGGATGGGGGAGAGGTGAGAGGGCAGGTGGGGGCCACCGCGGAGGTGCCCTCTGTCCTCTGACCCCGACCCCTCGCTTGCAGAATGGTTTCCCAGGGCTCCTCGCCCTCCCTGCTGGAGGCCCTGAGCAGCGACTTCCTAGCCTGTAAAATCTGCCTGGAGCAGCTGCGGGTGCCCAAAACGTTGCCCTGCCTGCATACCTACTGCCAGGACTGCCTGGCCCAGTTGGCCGAGGGCAGCCACCTCCGATGCCCTGAGTGCCGCGAGACTGTGCCTGTGCCGCCCACGGGCGTGGCTGCCTTCAAGACCAACTTCTTTGTCAACGGGCTCCTGGATTTGGTGAAGGCCCGAGCCGGTGGAGACCTGCGCGCAGGGAAGCCGGCCTGTGCACTGTGCCCGCTGATGGGGGGCGCCAGCGCCGGGGGGCCAGCCACAGCCCGGTGCCTGGACTGCGCCGACGACTTGTGCCAGGCCTGTGCCGATGGGCACCGCTGCACTCGGCAGACCCACAGCCACCGAGTGGTGGACCTGGTGGGCTACAGGGCAGGGTGGTACGACGAGGAGGCCCGGGAGCGCCAGGCGGCCCAGTGTCCCCAGCACCCGGGGGAGTCCCTGCGCTTCCTTTGCCAGCCCTGCTCCCAGCTGCTGTGCCGGGAGTGTCGCCTGGACCCCCACCTGGACCACCCCTGCCTGCCCCTGGCCGAGGCTGTGCGTGCCCGGAGGCCAGGCCTCGAGGGGCTACTGGCAGGCGTGGACAGCAACCTGGCCGAGCTGGAGGCCACCCAGCTGGCGGAAGAGGAAGCCTTGGCCTGTCTGCGGGAGCAGGCAGCCAAGGTGGGCACGCAGGTGGAAGAGGCAGCCGAGGGGGTCCTCCGGGCCCTCCTGGCCCAGAAGCAGGAGGTGCTGGGGCAGCTACGGGCCCACGTGGAGGCTGCCGAGGAGGCTGCACGGGAGAGGCTGGGGGAGCTGGAGAGCCGGGCACAGGTGGCCAGGGAGGCGGCCGCCTTTGCCCGTCGCGTGCTCAGCCTGGGGCGGGAGGCCGAGATACTCTCGCTGGAGGGGGCGATTGCCCAAAGGCTTCAGCAGCTGCAGTGTTGTCCCTGGATGCCTGGGCCAGCCCCCTGCCTGCTGCCCCAGCTGGAGCTCCATCCTGGACTCCTGGACAAGAACCGCCAGCTGCTAAGGCTCTCCTTTCAGGAGCAGCAGCCCCAGAAGGACAGCGGGAAAGACGGAGCCAGAAGCCAGGGAGGCGCTGCAACCCCGCCCCAGAGCAGGGACGGAGCCCAGACCCCAAAGCAGGACAGCGCGCAGCCGCCCCAGGAAGATGGAGCCCAGACCCTAAAGGCGGAGAGAGCCGAGACGCCCCAAGAAGATGGAGCCCAGACCCCAAAAGAGGGCAGAGCCCAGACACCCCAGGAAGATGGAGGAGCCCAGTCCCCAAGGGGCGGCCGATCCAACAAGAAGAGGAAGTTCAAAGGCAGGCTCAAGTCCGTTTCCCGGGAGCCCAGCCCGGCACCTGGGCCGAACCTGGAGGGCTCTGGCCTCCTCCCCAGGCCCATCTTTTTCTGCAGCTTCCCCACACGGATGCCGGGGGACAAGCGGTCTCCGCGGATCACCGGGCTGTGTCCCTTTGGCTCCCGGGAGATCCTGGTGGCAGATGAGCAGAACAGGGCCCTGAAGCGCTTCTCCCTCAATGGCGACTACAAGGGCGCGGTGCCCATCCCCGAGGGCTGCTCCCCGTGCAGCGTGGCCACCCTGCAGGACGCCGTGGCCTTCTCGGCTGGCGCTCGGCTCTATCTCATCCGCCCCAATGGCGAGGTGCAGTGGCGCCGGGCGCTGAGCCTCTGCCAGGCCAGCCACGCCGTGGCCGCCATGCCGAGCGGGGACCGGGTGGCCGTCAGCGTGTCAGGCCATGTGGAGGTGTACAACATGGAAGGCAGCCTGGCCACCCGGTTTATCCCTGGGGGCAAGGCCAGCCGGGGCCTGCGGGCACTAGTGTTCCTGACCACCAGCCCCCAGGGCAACTTCGTGGGGTCGGATTGGCAGCAGGGTAGCTTGGTGGTCTGTGACGGGCTGGGCCAGGTGATTGGGGAGTACCGGGGGCCGGGCCTGCACGGCTGCCAGCCAGGCTCTGTGTCCGTGGATAAGAAGGGCTACATCTTTCTGACCCTTCGGGAGGTCAACAAGGTGGTGATCCTCGATCCGAAGGGGTCGCTGCTCGGTGACTTCCTGACGGCATATCACGGCCTGGAAAAGCCCCGGGTGACCACCATGGTGGATGGCAGGTACCTGGTTGTGTCCCTCAGTAATGGGACCATCCACGTCTTTCGGGTCCGCCCTCCTGACAGTTAAAGGGCTGGGACTGGAGATACACTTCGGGGTGGGGGGACTGGGGGGGTAGAGAGAAGGGAAGCAGGGCGGCCCAAGGGATGTGGTGGCTGAGGGCATTTTCCCAGAGAGCAGGGGTTGGCAACTTTTCAAGGTGAAGTGCGAAACCGCTCTTCAGGTGCGCAGGAATAGGGACCAAGGCGGGTGGCATGGCCATAACCCTCAGAAGCAGAGGAGGAAGGGTTGGAGGGGTGCTGGGCATTAATGCTTCTTGCTTTTGCTGGGGGTGACTGCCACTGCCGCCGCCGTAAAGTCTAGGTTTCCAAGATGTGTAAGCTAGTCCTGATTTGAGTTCTTCTTTTAAAACCATTCCTGATGGGGTAGCCCAGGGAGAGTCTTGGGGAAGTGGGTAGAAATAGTCCTTTAAGCCCAGGGCTTGAAGGGTATGTCAGGTATGTACTTTCTGGAAGAGAGCTGAGAACTCCCTCCCCTCTGACTTGAACGGGACGCACCAAGTCAGAAGAGGTCTGGGATTTTGAACCTGGCCATAAATGGCATCTTCCACCAGCCTCGGCTGGGAAGTTGAGGCTCCTCTGATAATGGCGTCCCCCAGTGAAGTGCGGGCTGGACTTCATGGGGGACCAAGTATAGACACAAGCCGAGGCCAACAGGCGTTTTGCCTTTAAGTCCGTGAAGAGAATGTGCTACTAGAAAATGGAACCCGGCAGGGTTGGAGTCTAAAACACAGGGTTCTGAGTGTGAGACAAGGGGAGACCCTGGGTCTTACCCCTCGACTTCCACCACCCCTCACCTCCAAGCCAACCTGAGGCCAGACCTATGTAGGATTTAAAACCTTTTCTTTTTTGATGTCTTTACACTTCCTGGAGTTTATTTTTAGCCCCCTCTTAGTTTTCTGGCACAATTCCTTTTGAGAAATTTTGGCTGAACTAAGGGGTTGAAGGCATTTGTCCATATTGCCGTTATGGGTGGGGAAAAAACCTAAGCCTAGAGGCCAGGTGTGGGACTCAGGGGCCAAACCGGTTGGAAGACCTGGGAAGTCGGTAGTGGGGCTGGGATGGGTGGAGGGGTGAAAATCTCATGGAGGGATCCCATCAGAAGTGAGCCATGACCACCGGCCTTTTGCATAGGCTGTGGCAGCGGTGGAACTGAGGTGGACATGTTTAGCCAGGGGCTGTTGAGAGGTGACCAAAGGGAATAATATGTAAGGATCATGGGCAATGAGTGTTCATGGGAACCAGAGAGATTTTGGACAAGTCCAGATGGAAAATGCAGGACATTAGTGTAGGGAAAAGAAAATCTTTTTCCAGGGAGGTTGTTGATTGTTTAATGAAGTGAAAGGGGAAATCATCAATGTCAGGTGGACAAATTCAATTATATAAAATTTTGAAATGTATGCACAGGAAAGAAGAACGAAGATTAAAGGAAAATCAATGAGATGAGGAAATTACGGATCATTGATCTAAGGAGTCTCCAGTATATGGAGTGACTAAACAGATCTACTTGGTCAAATGACCAAATAAGCCGTATACCCAAGAGGAAGGCACACAGGTCAGGACACATAAAATGAAACATAAAATAAAATCGACCACTTGCATTCGTCAAAAGTACATTTTAAAAAATATGTCGTGGGGAAATAGACCCCTGGCACTATAAATGATGCTTCCTGGTGAACAGTTTGGCAATTCTTGACAAAAGTCAAAGAAGTGATTATAAGACGAAGTTATCTCACTTTGGGGAGTACATTCTGGGAAAAGGATACAAAAGGAAAAAACATATCTGCACACAGGTATTTGTGGCCACCCTATCTATTACAGCCTTTGGCAGGAAACAGCTCAGCTTAGCTCGCCAATTCTGGCTAGATCAGAATCTAGCCAAGTAGACTGTGTTCTACCAGGACAGTGAGCTGCTGCCTTCATGGATGACAATTATGAGAACTGTTTAGGAGAATATGATGTTATATGATGCAATCGTAAGCCAAAAAAAAAAAAAAGATTTTGGCTTTCTGTTCACGTAATGATAGCAACAAGATAAAAGCATGTCTGAATAGTTACCGAGTGGAAATAGGTTCAAAATGTGTAAATAGTCAGTGATTGGGGAGATTGGGTTTTTATTTCATGCTGTTATTCATATATGCACATTTCGACTTCAGTTATTACTGTCCGTTAAATAACATATATGCTTGACTACTTCAGAAAAATACACTCAAGAATAACTACTGGATTTGTGAATGAATGTGTCAGAATAAGTGAGACTGTTCTGCCAGGGGTAGGGGTGGGGGGCTAGGCAGGAGTCAGGAGGAGAATCCCAGCCAGTCAGGACCCAGCAGGGAGGAAGGTTCGTCAGAGCAGGATCCTGTCTGGTGACTGACCAAGGAATCTGCCCTGGGAAGTTTGCAGAGGTCAGGTGGTCCCCGTGGGTGATCAGTCATTGTGGAGTGTCCAGAGACAGGGGAAGGTCTTACTGAGTTCACCAGCTAATTCAGACCAACTGGAAACCAAGTGGCGGTTCTGCGGAACCAGCTGGTTTAAGATGAGTTGCACGGGGGTGCTGTGTCTGTCTTCTTTGCAGCTCTCTCTACAGAGTCAGCACAGTGATGGCTCCTAGTAGGTGCTCTGTAAACGCCTGTGGAGTGAATTGATGTCTAGAAAATGCCAGGTTGTCCAAAACTTTGGCTTGTGGGAAATCTCCAGTAGGGGGCACTGTGGGCACAGCCTACCATAAGCCTCCAGGAGACTGGCTCAGCTCTAAGTCACAAAAGAGGTGAAATTCGCGTGTCCTTCTTATATGTCCTGGGGTGGGGGTGGGGGGTCCTGGCCTCTAGGGGATAAATACCTTCAGGTTGGAACAACAGGTTTGCAGAGCCGCATGGGAACCATGTGCAGAGGGCCCGGCTGGTGGAATGGCTGCAGTCAAGTGGCTCACCCCTGAGGCAGGAATAGAGAACTTCCGGAGGGAAATATCACCTGGATTCAGGAAGAGAATCCCACAGATGCTCTAAAGATGAAGGAGGCACAGGGCTTTCCATGACGCTGTAAGAAGCCTGGGGAGTCGGGCACTGGACGATTGACAGACTTACTGAATTTTCCTCGTGAAGGGGTAGGGGTGGGAAGGCACAGAACATGGCAAAATGTGAAACGGATGAGAAGTATAGCATTGAGCATAATTTGGAGGTAAAATCCTCAGTGCCCCAACTGTCACCTGGGAATCCTAAATCCTGGCACAGAAAGCACTGCTCAGTGCGGAGAGAGAGTTCTTGGCTCAACTACAGATGTTAAGTAATAGGAACATTGTGAAAGATCCGACATCCGCACTCTGCATTGGACTATGACAACGACCGCTCATTCCTTGTGCTGTTTGGAACTTTCCAGATCGTGTAGGAAAGGAGAATGCTGTTCGGGTAGAGAGAAAGGGAGTAGAGAACCTTGTTCATATTCTCTGTGCTTAAAAAAGGAAGGTGAGGGCTTCCCTGGTGGCGCAGTGGTTGAGAGTCCGCCTGCCGATGCAGGGGACACGGGTTCGAGCCCCGGTCTGGGAGGATCCCACATGCCGCGGAGCAACTAGGCCTGTGAGCCATGGCCGCTGAGCCTGCGCGTCCGGAGCCTGTGCTCCGCAACAAGAGAGGCCGCGATAGTGAGAGGCCCGCGCACCGCGATGAAGAGTGGCCCCCGCTTGCCACAACTAGAGAAAGCCCTCGCACAGAAACGAAGAGCCAACACTGCCATAAATAAATAAATTTAAATGATAAATCATATCTTTAAAAAAAAAAAAAAAAGGAAGGTGAATGAGGCAGTGGAGACCTGGGTTGAATGCTGGCTCTTCCAAGTAAATAGCTGTGTGATGTTGGTCTAGCTCCCTAACCTCTCTGAACCTCAGTTTCTACATCAGTCAAGTAGCGATAATAATATTCACCATGCCCACCTCACGGGGTGGTGGTGAGGACTGGCTGAGAGGCATAGAGAAGGATTTTGTATCCCATAAAGCTCAAATCTGCAGTCTTGGTTGGGAAAAATTTTAACTGACTTTAGCACTGACTTATTTTCCATCAGGGTAAGCTTGAATGGGGATACTGTGCGCATGCATTGTGAGGGGAAAACTCGAGGACGTCTGGGTAGAGTTGTGACCTGCTTCTCCTTTGGAGGAGACTGTTCTGTTTCACTTTCCAGCAGTTATTTGGAGAAGCCATTTGCTAAGACACAGCAGTGACCATAGGAGCAGAAGGGACCGATGGCCCGCTTGCTAAGACTCAGGCCAGCTGAGAATCAGGCTGTACTAATGAAGGCCTGATAGCCATAGACATTTAGAAGAAATTCAAAATGGCAAGAGTAGCCCAATTTTTTGGTAATTTAGAGAAAATATAATTTGGGAGAAAATAACTCTTCTTTTGCTGTAGTCTTATTATTACTGTATCTATAATGCCATGTCATCGAATAATCTACAGAGATAATATTCCAGAGGGGCAGACATTCAAGAGAGAAGTCAGAAGTCTTCCGAGGAAATTGATGAGGTTGGTGACCTGAGCTGGGCGAGATGTGATAAGTGGGTGCCAAGATCAAGGTATTTGACCATTTCTCCTGGGCAGGTCAGCTGAGAACTAGAGTTATCTCATAAGTTAGGTGGGAGATTGGATGGGGATATGCAGAGTTCTGTTTGGGGGAGAAAATAGTCTTGGACTAGCTGGGGCAGGGAGCTGCCAGAGAGAGTGCTCAAGAAGACGTTCCCATTAGGAGAAAGATGAAGTTCAGATGCAGGCTTAGGAAAACAGGTAACTTGACAGAAGGTAACAAAACCAGCCTACCCAACTGATTCATGAATGTAGTTTAATTAAATGAGTCTGGATGGGAACAAAAATAGGTCTAGGAACCACAGAGTCATTGGAGGTGTGGAGAAGGCTCAACAGGGTCTGGCTGACCTCGCCCTCACCTGAAGCCTGGGTGAGGAATCTTTGGGACCGGGTGGAGAGGGGACTGTATGTAAAGAGGCAATTAGGAAGTCGTTTGGGGAGGTTTTAGAAGGCTATCTGACTTGTCTTCAGAGAAAGTTTGAACCGGTTGCATTAGCAGCTAAGAGAAATGGGCTTGAAAATGGTGGAATTGGGGCCTCTGTACCAGTGGTGTCAGCCCAGCAAGTATTTCTTTGTTGCCAGCAGGCTGAAGAATCTGTGTTGTAAACTCTTTCATTCCTTTATACTTTGTATCTTTTTTCTGTTTCTTAATAAATTCTTTTGAAAAATGTGGACCTTCTCTCAGATGGTTCATGGGTCTGGGAAATGATCAACACCCAGGTAGCGGACCTCCCTGGCGGTCCAGTGGTTAAGACTCCGCACTTCCACTGCAGGGGCCGCAGGTTCGATCCCTGGTCGGGGAACTAAGATCCCACATGCCTCGCGACACGACCAAACAAAATAAAAATACCCGGGTAGTGAAGGGAATCAGATATCATGGCCATTCCCTGATGTAGCTCCAAAGATGCTACACAGAATCCTTGGGGACATTTCAGAAGCAGGGTGATCAGCACAGTCATCGTCTGTGGTCCCAGCGCTCGTCCCGGGCCGCTCCCACCTGTAGGACAGAGGGGCCCTCTGGGCAGAAATGTGCATCTTCCAGACTCACATTTGGTGGGAGGGAGCCCTCAGGTGATCTGGCCCAGCAGGACCCCGTGGAGGTGTCTATGAAGGAGGTGGGCCAGGGGCCCAGGTCAGGATGGCTGTGCCCCTCGCTGGCCTCTGCTTGTTTTCTGGTTTGTGGGCTCCATCTAACGTGCTGCGTTTGTGATCCCACAGTGGCCCCTGCAGGGCTGGGAGATACCCAGGCTCTAGGAATATCTGCCAACTGGCCCAACCCACCCCCTCTGACCTACTCTCCAAAGCCCCTCCAGGAGCTCCTGACCCTCCCTTCTGAGTCCTGAGCAGGAAGAGAAAAGATCTCAGGTCTTTATTTCGAATTCACTCAGCCTCCGGCCTCCGCATCAAATACAGGAGCCAAGCAACAGTTATTGAGTGCCACCTACCTGTGCTTCACATCCATCGCCTTCCGGGATGGAAGTAGGCACCATCGTTATTTTATAGACACGGAGACCTAGGCCTGCGAGGTTTGCTCATTTTAAGTAGATTTCGTTTCTGACTCCAAAGGCTGCCCTTCCGACCAGCTCTGAATCCGGAGCCTCATTCATCGATGAGAGAGCTGAACAAAATGAGATCTGAGGTTCTTCCCCGAGCTCACAGGCCAGGACCTATCCCTAAACAGGTCCAGAATCTAGACCCAGGAAGGGAAGCTCAGTGATGCCCCACACACCTCCACCACCATCTTCTCAGTGCCAGAGAGGCCCCGCTTCCCCACGGAGCAGGAATGACAAGCCACAAGAGAATGCTCTAAGTGGCTCGGTGGGGAAGCAGAGGGTGGGGATGAGGACCCACCACTGCTGCGGTGACAGCCTGAGTAAGAATTCCGCAATTCCTCATCTAGTGACTCAGCCTGGCTTTGGACCAGAGCCTCTGTGAACCCTGGGGAGTGTGACTCAGCGGCTGAGGGGGCCGGGCGGGAGAGCCTGCGGGTCCATGTGAGCGGTGGCTGTGGGGAGAACGGCCTGTTCTAGCTCCAGACCCCAAGGCGAAGCGTCTGGCCCTGTGGTCAGGCACATGCGTCCTCGGTTCCCAGCCATGCGGGCCAGCCTCCTCCCTCAAACCTGGGTCTCTCTCTCCTCTGCATTGGAGAAGTCGCAGCCCTGGAGGCGGCAGACCCACTGCCTCTGCTCACAGCCATGGGGTCTGCAGCAAGTTGCCAGGCCACAGACTCTGCAGGCCTCTCTCCTCTTCGCTGCCCTGCTGGGGTCAGGCCACCTTCGAATAAGGGCAGCAGAGGTCACGCTGTAGGGGTGGGGAAGCCGGGCTATGTCACAGGCTGGGCACACAGCTCGACAGATGTTCACTGTATCCCTCCTCGTCACTGGGGTCAGGGGAAGGGGGCTCTGGGGTCTTGATTTTGCTCCAGGGTCAACTCAGAAAATGTCTCTTCCCCATCAGAAAGGGCAGCGTCTGTTTCCTTTCCCCTGAAAACTAATTTAGGGACAGTCTCACCAGAAGAAAAGAGCCAGAGCAAGGAGACATGGAACAGCCCCCGAATCCAGCGAGGGGCCAGGGCACTGAGGCCAGAGGTCAACGTGCAGGGCGGGTGTGCACAGACCCGCTTCTTCCCTCCAGCGCCTGCTTCCCTCCCATCTCTGACGGCCCTGACTACTTTCTCACCTCGATTATTAACACGCACCTCTTTCCTCACCTGCAAAACCCTTCAGGACAAGAACTTCTGATTCACACTGAATTTTCCATAACCAGGTGTTCTATAAATACTGGTGAGTGAAAAGAACAGATGAGTGAATTTGGGCTAAAATCTAGTCCCTGTCACTTACGTCAGCTAGAACACAAGAGAGGAGCTGGAAACATTGCTGGGCCAGGCCCGGAGGCAAAAAGGGTTTATCCCTTTTCCTTAGAAGGGAACATGAGTAAGAGTGAAGTGATCTGGAAGAAAAGATAGTAATCTCACTCCGCTGTACTTCTCCTATGTTCCACAGCACTTTAACCTTCTAACATACTATTCCATTGAATTATTTGTCCTACTAATTGTTATAATTTGTCTCTTCCTCCAAATTCTACCCCAGGTAGAATGCAAACCCCAGGATGGGGCATTTTGCCTGTTTTGTGCACTAATACCTCCTATGCCCACAGAATAGTACCTGGGATACGGTAGATTTGGAATGAATGAATGGTATCTATGAAACGTTTACTTGGAGGCAGGCCCCTCTCTACCGGTTATGCATTTATGTGTATTAAAGTCCAGGTAGGTGCATAATATTATCACCTCTGGTTTAATTATGGGGACGGTGAGGTTAGAAGCTTATGTGACATGAACAGGCTCACCACGAGCTGGGCAGAGGCCAACGCCAGCCGCAGCCGGCCTGGAGCTAACTCTGCAGCGCTCCCTGGCGAGGTGATGCGCAGGAAGCCTTCCCAGAAGCCCCACCCCAGTCCAGCTTTCCTGGGTGAGGCTTTCTTTCTTTTTTTAAAGATTTTTTTGTTTGTTTTTGGTGTGGACCATTTTAAAAGTCTGTATTGAATTTGTTACAATATTGCTTCTGTTTTATGTTTTGTTTTTTTGGCCACAAGGCCTGTGGGATCTTAGCTACCAGACCAGGGATGGAACCCACACCCCCTGCATTGGAAGGCGAAGTCTTAACCACTGCACAACCAGGGAAGTCCCCAAGGCTTTTTTTCTTTCTCTCCCTTCCCACCAACTTCCCACACGACCCCACTCTAACCCCCAAAAGTTAGCTCTGCCCCAAAGTACAGCTTCTTCTCAGTTGGAAAGACTTTTCCTGGCAGGAGAACCACGGAGACATGGGAGCAGAGCGCGGGCCGGGGAGCCTGGGCCTGGCTCTCCCTGCCCGGGCGCTACTCCCCACCACCTCCCTCCCCCCACCCCACAGACTGTGTGGGAGCCTCCCAGGCCCAAGTTGAGGGCCGGAGGAACTCCCTACATCACTCTTCTGTGCGTTTCGTGCTGC